AGGCACTTTTTGATTCCCGGATCGTGTACGTTACGATATGATTTCGAGACAATTTTGTAGTACTACTTTGAGCACGGATTAGCCTCTGTGAAATTGTTCACCGCGCGTGGGCAGAAACGAGTGAACATACCTGATCGACGCCATGGGTCGAGTAGTTTTCGCGCATCGATTTGTTCAAGTTTCCAGACATGACCGCCAGGAGCAAGACGCGAGCGTAATATGCAGCCAAACAAGGAGCTCGCGTGCAATAATTCAAGCTCCATTCAAAGCTGCTATTCTTGCCTACTTGCTTCCACCTCAATCGAAATTGTTCGTTCATTCCAAGTCTCTGCGCTACGCGGCATGTCGACACCAGAATACAATGATTCACCGCCCGTGACAACTATCGCACCTGCTGATACGATGTCGCTCCCCGCCCCCGCCGCTGCCAACAAAGCAAAGGCACCCCGGGCCCCCAGGCCAACTGAACGCGCGCCCGGTCAAACCCTCCTGCCTCTATCGCGCGTCCAGAAGATAGTCAAGGCGGACAAGGAGCTCGCAGGCATGTCCAAGGAAGCGACGTATCTCATTTCCGTGGCTACGGTACGCCGTTCACCATATATGACATCGGCAGCGGGTGTGGTGCCGCCGCACGCGCCGGAATGCTCAATTCGTCATGTTGGTTATGTACACTCTCAGGAAGAGTTTATCAAAATGCTCGCGCAATCAGGGCACCAGCAGGCGGCTCGCGAAAAACGGACGACGGTGCAATACAAGGACATGGGTGGGCCGGGCGCTTTCTTTTCTTTCGCGCAAGGAACGAAACTCATTCACTTGGAATGAAAAATAGCTGTCGCAGTCAAGCGGGCAGACGAATTGATGTTTCTAGAAGGCAAGGGGTTTCTCTATTGTTGGAGCGATGGCTAACGAAGCATGCTGTGGGTCGCAGAAATCATACCAAACACGATACCAGCATCTGTGGCGATCGGAAAACGGCGAGCAAAGGAGCGAGCAGTGCTTGCTGACGACCCAGAAGCGGTGAGTATTGCGCGCGCGTTCGAGGCGGCGAACAGGAAGAGCGCTGCAAAAAAGGGGAAGGCGAGGGCGAACGGGAAGGGCGAGAACGGATACGGGAATCCGGACGGCTCTGGGACTGGACAGGACTCGGTGGGGTATGCATATGGCGAGGACGAGGATGGGTCGGACATGATGAACACCAGCACGAACTAAGTAGCTAAAAGATGAAATACACGCAGATGAAATACATGAATTTGACTCGGGGGCCTATGCGCCTAGTTGGAGTGCAAGCGGTACTTATAAGTAAGACGGACGCGGATGCAGCCGCGCGCGCAGGTCTGCAGATGCAGCCATCGTCCGCAGATACCTCCAGTGCGCCGTCGCCATCGTCGCCGCCACCGGCACTGACAGACCCAGCGGCAAGGTCTGCTCCCTTTCACCACCACCCGCTGCTTCTCACCTGACCTGACCTACTTTCCTCCCATTGTCTGGGCAGCTCTCGCTGTCACACGCCTCCCCGACGAATCCTCAGCGACAAGGACGAAGCGAGGCTGCCCATCGCCATCATGAACGTGCCTCGTCTCCCGGTCGAGGTCATCGGGCGCATCCTCGAGATGCTCGTGGCTGCAAACGGCAAGTGCCTCTTGACCCATCGTCGGGTCAATCGCACGTACCTCGTTCCCCTATGCCGCGTATCCCGCTTCTTCCAGGCGGAGGTCGAGCGTCTCCTCTACGCTCGTATCATCATCACCCACGCGTCTCAGGCCATACTGTGCTTCAGGACACTTCTCTCTCGCCCCGACCTCGCCCGTGCAGTCCGCAATCTGCAGCTCCTGCTTCCCATTGCGCCCAACTATCCCCTTCGCCAACTCCAGACGCTCTTTGGTGTCCGCTCCCCGCTTCATGACCTCCAGCCCCTCCCTCTTCGCGGCTTTGCCCACCTCATCAAAGCCGTCCTCCGTCGCCTTCCGAATATCAAATCATACACAATCTCATGTGGTGCTTACTCCTTTTATCAAGACGAATACTCCAAGCCTCTCCTTGTCACGAACGCTGCATTCAAGCTGGAGACCTTCAACGTCTCTTTAGATATCACTCCTTCCCTCGTACATTTCTTGCAATCACAGCCCACCATCACACAGCTCTGCGCACCTTATGCCAACCCGAAGGTCCGTTTCCCCACTAATTGCCTTCCAAATCTCACGTACGTCTCGGGCTCGACCGAGTTCATCCGTCGCATTGTCCCCGGACGTCCCGTCAAGTCCGTCTCTTTCAGCGAGCAGCTCGTTCCGCGACGAGTTACCGCCTTGGTAGCCAAGCTCAAGCTCTCCACCGGTCCCATGCGTGCCCTCCGCATGCCAGTTTCCTCGGTGAACTCGCTTGCGACCCATGTTCTCCCCATCGTTGCTTCTCAGCTCCCAACGCTTCAGGCACTGCAGGTGCCCTGTCGTCGATTTGCTGATATGTCTGTGAGTGTATCGCTTAATGGCTCTCACACAAAACGAAGCTAACAAGTACTGCGCCGGGTGCGCACACCAACCAACTCGAAACTAGGATCCATACGATACTTATGTTCAAAGTCACTGGCTTTCCGCCCTGTCTCAGTTTGACGGGCTGGAATCTTTGACTGTCTCGACTGCTGACCCGGAGGTCTTTCTCCATCGCGCGGGCTTATCGTTGTTCGGCCACACGCACGTCACTTTTGGCCCGCTAGGTCATCCATTTGCAGATCCTTTGCCGCCGGAGCCAGAGGAAGACATGGAGGAAGATCTCCTTGATCAGGACGAGTTGGCGCCAGACGACCTGCCCCCACCGCTTATAGCTGCGCCTAACCCGGGCAATGGCCCCCCACCGGGAGGCGCACCACCACTACCACCAGCGCCTGCCCTTGGTGTTGCCGGTACCGAGCATGTTCATATCGAAGTATTTGCTAACAACCCGCTTCTGCAACTCCTTTTCCATCCGCTTGCGGCGCCCAATCAAGGCCCCGCCGCGGCGGCTCTGAATAACAATAACCCGGCCGCACCTCCACCTTTCCCTGCAGCATTTGGTGCTGCCGGTGGTGTGGCACCCCCTGTGCAACCGCCAGCAGCGAACGGCGGGAACCCTCCCAACCCCGCCCCTGCCCCTGCGCTTCCTCCTCCGGCACCCATCTTCGACATGCCGTTCCCACCATGGCTCCCCTGGGACGACGGTGAGGATTCGGAGATGGATACCGATACCGAGGACGAGAATGGGCTGCCGCTGCCACAAAATCTACATGATGGTCCCCCCGGCCCGGTGTTCGCCACCGCGACCGTGTTCGTGGGCTTCGGGCCTCCCCCTCCCCACTTACTCAACGGACATCATGTTAATAATAACGCCCTCAACGTCCCAGCTCCAATGCCCGATATGTTCGGACCCATACCCCCGCCGCCGCCGCCACCCGCTGGTGGGCCGCCTCCTGCCAACGCGAATGGGAATGGAAATGCCAATGCGAATGTCAATCCATTTGGGGGTGGGATGCTCGGCGGCTTGTTTGGTGGGCTCGGTGGTGGTATCCCTGGACTTCCTGGGCTCGGTGGGCTTGGTGCACCTGGCGGACCTGGTGGGCCTGGTGGGCCGCCGCAGCCGCCGCCTGCCGGAGGCGCGAATCTGCTGCAAAATCCGCTGCAAATGATTGGTGCAGCTATCTCGGCGCTGACTGAGATGGTGCCGTTTGGTGCAGGTCCAATCGGCGCTGGTGCTGGTGCTGGTGGGGGCGCCGGTGGGGGCGCAAATGCGAACGGGGCTGGACCGGGGCCTGCTGCTGCTGCTGCTGCTGATGGCAACGCAAACGCAAACGCCGGCGCTGTTCCGGGCGGTATTGGTATCGGTCCTGATCTCGGCGCAGGCGCAGGCCTGGGTCTTCCGATGGGTCTTGGGCCCGGAGGCGACGGGGCCAACTACCTGGGCGCATACGCCCACCTGCACCCGCGACGCGAAGAGGCGCTCACACGCATTCAACGCGAACTGGAGGCCAAGGAGCGGGACATCATCGCGCGTTGGGTGACCGTCCAGCCCAAGCTACGCCATGTGCGGTTCGAAATGAGCCAAGGGCGCGCGACGGAGTGGAGGCTCGTCGGCGCCGAGCGTGTGTCGGATTGGATCTTGGGGGGCGCCGCGCCGCTGGAGGATATCGTGGAGGGCACAGTGGGCGATTGGGTTCCGGCTTACTTGGAGCCCCCTCCTCGACAGCCGCCCCCTGGGCGTCCATCCCGCTCGCTCGTGCCGCAGCAGACGCAGGCGCCGATTCCAAATATGGGGAACGATCCGGCTGCTGGGTGATTCGTGATTCGAATACATAGCTCGTAAAGAGCTCTTTCTTGGAGGGCTCACCCTTACTAATCATGCTGGCAAGTTTTCTTAGCTTGTTTGCTTCGCTACCTCAATTTTTCAGTCTAAGTTTCGTGTCTTTTTTTTACACATCCTTCATGCACTACTTTTGTACAGGTTTTCTCGTGCATATATACATAACACGCATTCCATCTGGCCTCGCTCGCTCGTACGCATCCATCAACACACAATGTCACTTTTCGATGTCATGAATCTGCGCAACTCGAAGACGTCGCCGCCTCTGCTGTCCTCATACCACACTTCCTAGAGCACTTTTTTCCACTCGTGGCTGTAAATTCCGTTTAATTGGGAATGCATTCCTAGCTGTAATTTTGACGGCGATACCGCCGTGACATACGCAGAATTGCCACTGAACGCGCCAAGGGGCGAACCCGTCCAAGTCTAATGCGCATGCTCATACTCGAGGCCCTTCAGCGCTCTGAAGCATACTTACTTCGAGGCCATAAGCAGCACTCAATTGACGGAGATTGCACTGAGCGCAAGCCTGCGCAAGCAAGAAAGGCCATAGGCCCTATGCAGGTTGTTGCTTTTGCACTGCACATATGGTCGCTTTTGCAGCCCTATATGGTGATAAGTGAAACATACAATGGCTTTTGCGGGATAAAGCGGCATTCTCGGCATTTTAACAAGCCCGCCTAGCTCAATCGGATAGAGCGTCAGACTCTTACTAGGCGAATCGGCTTACAAGGCATCTGAAGGCTGCGAGTTCGACCCTCGCGGTGGGCTAATTGGTTTCCTCTTTTGGTAATTACGCTTCAATATATTTTGCGGCATTCTCATATATTGCTCATGCACCTACTCTTTATCAAGTCAATTTTGAACCACATCCAATGGTTTTAGCAATAAAAAGAATTTCGTCGGCGCAGGTACAAAAACACAAGAAGTTGTGCATCAACAGCAGCAAAATAGGCAAAAGAGGAAACCGATTAGCCCACCGCGAGGGTCGAACTCGCAGCCTTCAGATGCCTTGTAAGCCGATTCGCCTAGTAAGAGTCTGACGCTCTATCCGATTGAGCTAGGCGGGCTTGTTAAGATGCCGGGAAGGCCGCTACATCAATCGAAATCTGTATGAAACCGAGCGATGGTGAGCATGCAACCTTAGGCTACAGACTGCTGCACGCCACCAAGCTCATCAAAGGCATCTTGAATTTCTCGGGATATACATCATCTAACTTCGCTTGAGTCCTTGATACTTGGCACGAGCGAGGTAAGCTTGGGCAGTGTTTGAGCCACCAGCGAGACGAGATCGACGGTTGCAGAGTGCACGTCGGCACGAAAGCATCGTATTGGTTTGTCTGCAAGCGCTCGCACTATATCTTCAACGTGCGTTCGGTCCAAGGGCGTTCTAATCGATGTAATTTATTCCCACAGACAAAACAGCTGCGAGCGTCCTGCAGGTTATCAAGCGCCGTTTGGTACTTGAACAAGTCGGGATGTGCGAGCTGACCCAAGGAATGAACGGATGGGGGTTTATCTGGAGGAGAATGACGTGGGCTGCAGATATTGGGGCAGCCAAGGCACAGATATTCAGGCTAGTCATCTGGAGGCGTAACCGCTAGTCACTTCCAAGAAAGTTGTGAGTATGAGCTCCATCTCGCGTGTGATGCTTGAGTTTAGCCTCTCGGCAACGATAGCTCTCTCAGATATCGTTGCCGAGAGGACCTGCTCGACGCGATGGCACACGAGACAAAAGGCCTGCAGCTCGGCATGTCTTAGCTAGAGAAATACTATCGAAAGGAGCTCGTCGGGAAGCCGCGAGATCGTTTTGCTTCGAGGCTGGCAAGCTGGCGAATGCTGAACTTGAAGCGACGCAGCTGTTGCTACACAGCGAGCTCAGCATAAACTAAGCTGATTAGTCGGGCGGAGGACTCCCACTTCCGTAGAGGCTTGGGAAAGTTTGAAGCTGCATCGTATGACGAGCGGCGTGAAAATCCTTGCAATCATTGACATTAGCGTCCTAAATATCAGTTACGGCATGAGAATCAAGAGAATAATATATTTTACTGCGCGGCCACCGTCTCGCGCTCCGATCGGGCCTTTTGCCTGGGCCTCTCGCTTTCGTATTCGTCCTCATCAACATTATGATGGCCTCTGACCTTGGCATCCCGCTCCACGCTCGGGCCCGCCGCAGCCAGACTGAGCATCGGCACGCTCCTCGCCAACGTCTCGGATCGGGCGTCCGGTCTCCATGTGTAGGAGGCCGAAGTATTATAGAGCATGTCGGAGCGCGATCGCTTCTTTTCGGTTGCTCTCATCCTGGGCGTGCTCACCGCGAGCATGGGAACGAAAATGAGATTCGCACGGTCGTCCTCGGGCCACGCGCCCTCTGCGTTGAGGGCCTCCTCGAGCTTGGCAATGAACTTCTGGCTTCCCCCCTCGCGAGTGTTGAGAGTCGCCTCCGTCTGCTCCTTTGTCACTCCCCTATATCGCAGGTCCCTGGGCTTCATGTAAAGGGGCCTGATTAACTCGGCCAAGTCATCGAGGAGGTCGTGAAGCAGGGGCCGATCGTCGAACCTCAAGTTCTTCTTGATATAGTGACCTCCTCCGAGCCCTTCTTCTTTCGCTTGGCCACCAACGGGAAGTCCATGCTGACCAGGAAACGCTTGCTCGTCAAACATGGCGAGGCACGATGCGAGCGCTGTTCCAGAATGTGTCGACGGCGAATAACACAAGAACGTATGGGTCATCACGTGCAAAAACGATTCCAAGTCGTCCGCGAGCGTATGCTGCTTATTGAGAGGGGATTGCAGCAGTGCGGCCGATATGAACTGCCAGGTGCCCTATATGTGATATAAAAGCAGCATTAGGCAATCTGCTGTGCAACTTTACAATGATCAAAACATACCGTCCAACCGTAACGCACTGCTTTGGTTCGCGCGTAGGGCTTTGACAGATCCCAGTCTATGAGATAACCTCTGCCATCGTAACCAATCAGGATATTCCCTGGACTGATATCGCGGTGCAGTATCCCCGCGTCAAAGAAGGCTGCAGCATGGGCTATAATGGAAAACAGCGTATGAGCAATGCGACGAGCAAAGAAAGCAGCTGGCAGCGTACCTTCAATGGCATCTTTGACGACAGACACCATTTCTTTCGATGAGCTGAAGTGAGTTAAATCACGACACACGTACTCGAGGACCATTCGATAGTGTACGTATCCGTGCAGCCCAGGGAAATCGCGCGGGCCGCAGAACCATCCCTTGTTCGTGAACGTCTGCGTCTTGGTCCTGTGGACACGCTGTGCCTCCTCTTCAGTGGCCAGCCGAGGTAGAAGCGGGATCGGTTCGGAGTGGACGCTCTCGAAATCGGCGGCGCCGCTCTCGTCGTCGGGAGAGACTGGATCACTGGGTGGATAGCCCACGTCACCGTGGCATACAACAGGCATGATGTGAGGCACCTGTTTTTCGTGGAGCAGGGCGTAAATATCGCCTTCGCGCATCAGATCGGCCGAGTCAATCCTCCACGTATCCTTCATGAAGTTAATCTTCTTTGTTTCCAAAGCATACACAGGGAAACCCCGGGACGCGCGGCACACAAGAGATTGGGGGGCGTGGCGGCGGTGGAAGGCGCCGACAAAGTAGGACGGCCTGGCGTCTGTCTCCCCCTGAACGGCGAATTTGTAGTATGTGGCTCGATCGAGGGAGGCGAGGCGCTTTGTGTATACGTCCTCAGGCTCATCCTGGCACCTCTCCTTGAGAGCAGCTTGGGCAAGCGCTAGCTCCTCCGGAGACGCAGGGTCACCGTTGTATCTTCACCCTGCACCTCTGGAGATGATCGGTCGAAGCGGAAGAAGAACTCTGCGAGCATTTTGGGGTGTTTGGTGTAGTCGAAGGCCTGTGTGATGACAGCGCCGGCTCTGTCCCAGTAGATGAAACGTGCGAGGGGGCCGACGATCAGGACGGAAAAGGCGTGCGTACGAAAACTATCTCCGAGGTGGGCGACGGCGTAGGAGACGATTTGGCCAATAGCATCCTGGCTTCCCTCTGATTGGAGTGCAAATACCCAATCCTTCCGGTCTCTTTGCGACTGAGGAGGGTCGTGAAAAGGGTTTTTCAACTTGAACTCCACACAAAGCTTCATTTTGGCGAAATTGGCTCGGGTGATGCCAGAGCCGCGTGCGTACACAGACACATCTGGTTTGAGCTCTTCTATGCTGCACTCCAGATCGCCTTTGTTGCTCGTGTCGACGAATTCGAGGGTGGTTAAGCCGAGGCTATTCATGCAGTTGATCTGTGTATGATATGCGAGGTTAAATGTTACACATGGCGAGAGCGAATAAGTAAAGGAGGCGAGGACATACGAATGGCCCATACATCTCATTCTCGGGGAGCTTCGTGGTTACCCCATTTACCGTGCGCCTGCATATCTGCTCGAAGAGGTCCTCGTCGAGCGCCGGCTGGGTGGTGCTCCTGCTGGCCTCGTCAAAGAACCCGTCCAGGAAATCTTGGGGATCCATGGGTCCCAGCAGGAACGGGCGCGTCTCCGCCTCGAGCTCCCTCTGGATCTGCGAGGCTTTCCAGTGGCGGTGCGAGTGGCGGTGCATGCCGACAAATTTCCGGGTCAACGGAGTCGGGTCGTTGTTGCCACCGCCCGCACCGGTGGCGCGGGGTGGCGTGGTTGGGTTGCGCACATCATCGGTGGGGGGTGTGGGAGGGCGGTCACCATCGGGTGCAGCGACAGGCGGCGTGGACATGACTTTGGGATAGCGAGGAGGATAGCAGCGAGGTATGTAAGTCCGAGTTGGCACTAGGCCACGGCGGACGCGTGATATAAATACGAGGACGCGTAGGTGCACGTGTTCGTCCTCGGTTGCATCCGGCTCTTGGGCCCAGTTGTTGCTTCAGTGCTCCGCCATTGAACCGTTGCCGACCAGGCTCTTTCTTTTGCTTCTTGCAATCACCTCGTGGTCTCTTGCCCTTTGTGCGCTTCACTAAAACTTCGTTGACGGGTTCCCCAAATCAGGCCGTGCAACATGCACAATCGTACTTCTACGGCCTGCCTGGGGACTCGGGAGCTACTAGGTCTCCAGTGGTGCCTACGGCCGGCATGTCATACTATTGTGCAAAGCGACTAGGGGATCTATTTAATATGGTCTGCGCAACTTTTTGGAGCAGTGAGAGGCTTCCAATGATTACAAAACACCGCAAATGCGATAATGATTTAGAGATTGCGCGCCGTGTATGGCTTCAAACACGTTCAGTATACGGTGTGGGCCGCCTGCGTAATCTCTTCAAGTTTCGTATGGTGCCAATACGGCGCGGTAATGGGCTGGCCGAGGGCTCGAGGCGCCGCCTGTTTCGCCAGTGAGTTCGCTGTGACATACACCACAGGCCCCGTCCCCGAGCGCTCACTGGACAATGGACAGCGTGCATTAATGTTCGTCATACTAGAAACGAGCTGGCGTCCTCATCTATGAACTACGTCGATTTGTGTTGGAAGGGGGGCGCATAACATACTGTCCTAATGCCACCGGGAACGCGTGCAAATATTCGATTTGCCGCCCGCATCCGAATTCCACAGCTCCGCAGGTTAACCGCCTCTGATACCACCGCAGCCTCCTCCTAACAGGCGCTGTACCGCTGGCTCTCAGCACTGGCGGGGAGATTGAGGTCACGTGTTCTCCAATCGGCGAGCCTAGCGTCATGCTGCAACGTACCGGTCAGACTCTACGAAATCTAGACGCCAGTATTAATATTATCCTAAGCAGAGTGACGGCGTAGGGCGCT